CACTTTGGGAGGCCGAGGCGGGAGGATCCCAAGATCAGGAGATCGGGACCATCCTGGCGAACAGCGTGAAACCCCCTCTCTACAAAAAATACCAACAATTAGCCGGGCGTGGTGGCACGCGCCTGTGGTCCCAGCTACTCAGGAGACTGAGGCAGGAGTATCGCTTGAACCCGGGAGGCGGAGGTTGCTTTGAGCCAAGATCACGCCATTGCACTCCAGTCTGGGAGACAGAGCTAGACTTCATCTCAAAATAAAAGCCCATTCACTGCACTGTGAAAAAAACAAAAAAGAACCACTAAAATCTTGCATCTGTTTGAAAAGCAAATAAAGGATAAATAGGCCGGGCACAGTGGCTCACGCCTGTAATCCCAGCACTTTGGGAGGCCGAGGGGGGCGGATCATGAGGTCAGGAGTTTGAGACCAGCCCAGCTAACACGGTGAAACCCTGTCTCTACTACAAATACAAAAATTAGCCTGGCGTGGTGGCGCCTGCCTGTAGTCCCAGCTACTCAGGAGGCTGACGCAGGAGAATCGCTTGAACCTGGGAGGTGGCGGTTGCAGTGAGCCGAGACTGTGCCACTGCACTTCAGCTTCGGCATTGGGCAACAGAGTGAGAGTTCATCTCAAAAAAAAGGACAAATAGTTGATAATGTTGTGCTTGGAGAGGGGAAGTTAGCATTTGGGAATGTAGGAAAGAAACTGGAGGCGGGGCGCAGTGGCTCAAGCTTGTAATCCCAGCACTTTGGGAGGCCGAGGCGGGCGGATCACGAGGTCAGAAGTTCCAGACCAGCTTGGCTAATATAGTGAAACCCCGTCTCTACTAAAAATACAAAAAATTAGCTCGGTGTGGTGGTGTGCACCTGTAATCGCAGCTACTCGAGAGGCTGAGGCAGGAGAATCGTGTGAACCCGGGAGGCGGAGGTTGCAGTAAGCCGAGATGCCGCCACTGCACACCAGCCTGGGCAACAGTGCGAGACATCGTCTCAAATAAAAAAAAAAAAAAAAGAGAAAAGAAAAACGAAACTGGAAACAAGATTTCCTTCAGGCTTTAAAACAGGCTGGGGGAACAGAGTCCTGGATTTGAGGTCCTGCTTGCCATACATTTGAAAAATGCTGGGAAAACCAGTTCCCCTGTGAAGTGTTAGAATAATTAAATGGCAGGCAATTAGACTGAGTGGCTTGGATGTCCTGGGATTCTATCTAAGGAATCCTAGCTAACTTAAATAAATTTCTTATAAATTGCAAACTCGGAGAAAAACAAAACGTAGGCTTAACTACCACCAAATGCTAATAAATCTTATTACAGGCGGGCGCCAGTAGTCCCAGCTACTGGGGAGGCTGAGGCAGGAGAATGGCGTGAACGCGGGAGGCGGAGCTTACAGCGAGTCCAGATCGCACCACCGCACTCCAGACTGGGCGACAGAGGGAGACTCCGTCTTTAAAAAAAAAAAAAAAAAAGAGGAGAAAGGAACCCACAGACTACAGCTCCTCACTTGTCAGGCCTCTGAGCCCAAGCCAAGCCATGGCATCCCCTGTGACTTGCACGTATAGGCCCAGATGGCCTGAAGTAACTGAAGAATCACAAAAGAAGTGCAAATGCCCTGCCTCGCCTTAACCGATGACATTCCACCACAAAAGAAGTGAAAATGGCCGGTCCTTGCCTTAAGCGATGATATTATCTTGTGAAACTCCTTTTCCTGGCTCATCCTGGCTCCAAAAGCTCCCCCACTGAGCACCTTGTGACCCCCCCTCCTGCGCACCAGAGAACACCCCCTTGGACTGTAAGGCTCCTTCACCTGCCCAAATCCTATAAAACGGCCCCCCCTTCTCTCCCTGCGCTGACTCTCTTCGGACTCAGCCGCCTGCACCCAGGTGATTAAAAAGCTTTATCGCTCACACAAAGCCTGTTTGGTGGCCTCTTCACACGGACGCGCATGACACCACTCAGGAACCTTCCACCGCAGTGGGGACTCTCCCGACAACCCCACCGCCATCAAGGCACAATCCAGGGGAGAGCGGGCTGCGGGCGCGGGGCTGCCCCGGGAGGGCTCTGGGCCGGGCGGAAGTCACCAGGCAGAGACCGGACCGTCACCCAGGCGCCAGAATCCCGCTGCCGGCCCAGCCCCTACCAGCGCGGACGGGACTGAGGGCCGCGCACTCCGGAGCCCACCGCGGGGAGGCCGGGGGTCGCCAGCGCTGGTTCCAGCCAATTCCGACCGATTCCAGTCAGACCCCTCTCCCTTCTCGGGACACCCTGCCCCGCACACTCACCATTTCCCAGCTTTTGGGTGTCCCGCCGGCCTCCCTATAAATCTCGCAGTACCTGCAGGCCACAGGGCGACAGGGCCTGCAGCGGTCACGGGGATCTCCGGGAGGCAGCAAACGCGAGCCCAGCACCCCGTTAGCCGCAAGGAGACAAAGGCCCCGCCACATCCCCAGGGCCGCCCCTTCCTCTCTGGCTGCACGCCTGATTGGACAGTTCTCACGCTGGCGCCGCTGATTGGATGGAGCTCCAGGCCCCGCCCCCTCAGGGCTTGAGTGACAGGAAGGGCGATCAGACACCGGGCCGAATGAAACCAGAGTGACAGGTTTTGGGGTGCAGGCCTTTTGAGGCGACATTCCTCACGGCACTGAGACCTGGACGGACCTGCCTGGGTGATATTCGCATTTAACCTTGTATATAAGATTATATCCATTTATAAGTTTTATACACACACATATATATTTCACAAATGGAGACAATAAATGATCATTAAAGTTTCCGATTTCATAACCTTCCCGGCCTCTGGTCTTTTGACCAAGCAGCCCGAGCTGTGGAAAGTGAGGCAATGGTCTCAGGCAGCAACGTGCAGTATAAATAAAACGTGAGCCACGCGTGTCATTTAAAGTTTTCTAGGATAGGCCGGGCACGTGGCTCACGTCTGTCATCCCAGCACTTTGAGAGGCCGAGACGGGCGGATCACGAAGTCAGGAAATCGAGACCATCCTGGTTACTAGGCCCGGGGCGGCGGTGGCTCAGCCTGTAATCTCAGCACTTTGGGGAGGGCCGAGACGGGCGATCACGAGGTCAGGATCGAGACCATCCTGGCAAATCGGTGAAACCCCGTCTCTACCAAAAAATACAAAAAACTATCCGGGCGAGGTGGCGCGCGCCTGAGTCCCAGCTACTCCGGAGGCTGAGGCAAGGAGAATGGCGTGACCCGGGAGGCGGAGCTGCAGTGAGCTGAGATCGGCCCATGGCACTCAG